ATAATATGAAATATTATTATCTATAATAATATACTTATTTATATTGTTTATTATAGATTTTTCTATGTTTATTTTTATATAGTTTAATCTTCAGTATGAAAATGAACACTTGTGAGATCTGTGTTATTTTCTCAGGCAACCTTGCATGCAGTGAAATGGTGCTCAGCAGCAAGCAGAGCGAAAGCAATTACCTTCAAGGTTTCTTGCTCTCTTTACTATCTAGGTGGAAGAACAAGGATGGCTTCTACAAGTAAAAGAAATTCTGCAGGTATAAGATTTCATTTACTAAGATTTGTCAGTAGTAAGGTTGAAGCAGGTTTCAATCCATTCTTACTAATATATGATACCATTCTCTTTGCCCTCCACCTGTCAAAGATTTTGTGGTAAACAGTAGGTGAAAAACAGGGGAAAATAGAGTATTGAAAAATTTGGAGATCTCACCTGGACTTACACTGTATGGAAATTCTGCCCCTCTGCTTCCTTCCTTAAAGAATCTGTCTTAAATGTGACGTTTCCCTTTACAGCAGAATCTTTCCTGTCCCTGACACAGAGGTTGGACTGACATTTGTAAAAAACATTAAAAACCTTAGAAATTAACAGGGAAGACACAGTCAGTATCTCCAAGACACTGATGATGAAGTCTTACCTCCACTGAAGTCAGTAATAAGGGGGTTTCAGAACCAAGTGTTTCTTGCATCACCACATTTGGTGATGTTATATTATATATGTCCTCTACTGTCCCTTACTGGAAGATCAAAAGTGAGGCTGACCATGCTCCCTTCCGTCACTGGATTCCTAAAAAATCTTAATTTCCCATAAACAGCTTACAGCTTAAAAAATGAAATTAGATTGACACTCCTTTCATTGGATGTTATTAATAAATATTGATATTAATATTAATAAGTATATTAATAAAACATATTTTGATCAGAAATCCACTTGTGTTTAGAAAATGTGAATCTTAAACTACAGCTGGCCATAGAGTATGCACAGTTGTGAACAAATGCATTCAAGCGTTTTGTCCCCCCGAGGTTTTAGCTCATATTTTACTTGTAAGACTTTTTCTTGTTGTCATACCATGATTCGTGGTGTAAGATGACCTATCCTTAGCTGTGTTTGCAACCTATCCAAATTGAATGCCATCTACAAATTTCACCAGGGCGCTGTTTATTGTCTTTCAGATCATTAATGAAGTTAAATAAGACCAGATCCCAGAAGTTAAATAAGACCATTTAAATAAGACAGAGGCTCATGGTATCTTCTGAGCCCTCTACATTGTCACTTTCTTTTATTTACAGTTTTTGCCAGTTGTCGCAGTAACATTGACATCAAGGACCATGGTCTGGTCCTATATCTTATAGCTTTGATTTGTGTTTGTCTTCTCTAATTGTAATGTGCTTTTTAACCATTCAAACACGGAAGCCCAGTGCTCAGCAACAATTTCCAGTTCAAGCAGGTCCTTGTCATAGAATAATTGTCAACAAATTGAGTAATGGTGCTGTTCATTTCTGTTTGATTAGGGAGAACTCAAAATACATTTTGCCCTGAAGGTGGAGTCTGCAAGCATGGATTCCTCATCAAATCTCCACCTCTTCAACTTTTCAGCTCACAGGTATACTGGCACAGATTAGTCTTATTCCAGCAATCCTCCAACAAGCATCTGCTGTTTCTACTGTCCTGAATTTTAATGAGAGACAAATTACTTTCTCTTCTGCAGAATTCCTGGAAAAGGCGTTTTTTCGTCCTGTCCAAATCCAGCAAGGGCAATTACATCCTCAAGTATCTAAAAGGCCAGAACGTAAAAGGCTCCATAGCTGTTGATCAGTACGTAACTCAAATGCATCACCTTTTTATTTTAAATCATGTATCAACACTTTTAAATGGCCACTGATTGCATAGACATTTGTTCCTGATTGAAGTTCTTGATCCAAATCACACTGAAGTCAAGAAAAGAGTCCTTTGGCCTCTCATAGGCTTTGAGTGCAACTTGTAGTCTATCATACATGTAAGAGTAAAAATCTTGAATGTTTTCAATGAAGTTTGATACACTTCTGTGAGCAATTGTGATGTGATATCTGCAAAGCAGACATCTTGGCTCCGTGATCCCAAAGGCTGTATTCTTGTAGCAGAAGATGTTTTATCTCCTGTGAGGACAGTGCTATGCATTCGCTCACAAGGATGGGCTGTGCTGCTCTTAGCTGTGGCACACCACCTTTCCCACCTCACAGCTTTACAAAGTGCTTTGCAAGTTGTGCAGAGGTCTCCTGGCTTTCACGTAGCCCTTTGGGCTGATGCCAACTGCCCTGATGCCTCTTACTCCACTGAGAAATTGCTCTGCTTGGCTCATTTGAACTGGTTGTTTCATGCCTCTCAGCACAGTGCCCACTGCAGCCGGGCTGAGTGTCATTGGCTTTGTACTAGCACCCTTTACCATGCCACATGTGGTTTGAGATACATAGAAGGGGAACAGTAAATGTAAAGGGAAATGCAAAGATTTTACCAGTCAGATCTGGAGCTTAATACAAAGTCTCCTGGAATTGTTAGGAATGGAGGTGGCCGGACTGTCATTGCTATTGTGCTTCTTCCATTAAAAGGATTTACATTGTGAAGCTTTTGAAAAAATTCCTGCTTGCTCAGTGGTATGCGGTTATATCATTAACATCATCATTGTTGTTATTATTTTCACTAATTTAGCTTCTTGGAAGTTAACGGAAGTAGTACTTCTATTTAAATATCCATTAATAGTACTTCTCATCTGTTCCTCTTCCCCTCCGTTAAAACACAGTTAATATATAATTAGTTTCAAATCAAATGTGCTGTTCTGTAGCGGTTGAAAAACATCAGCCAGGAATTTTTTCTTACTATCATTTCTTTTCAAGATTCTTTCTTAGACCAACAGCTGCTTTTTTCAGAAATGAGGATCCAAAATTTGGACACAAGTCATTGCAAAAGTTTATTTTTTTGCTTGGAAGTTTTCTTCATTGAATGATCATCTGTTTTGAATGCATGCACTTATTTTCTTGAGATTTTTTTCTGTGGAAAAATGTTTACCTTTTCCCATGCAGATGTCATCATATTATGCTGTGCTTAGAGTAAAATATGCACATATACACACATATGTATGTTTGTATGTATGTTTGTACATATGTATATATAGTTATATAGGGTGTTCCATATGGTTATCTTAACAGAATCATAAATATCGAAGTTGGCATAAGCGATTCTGAAATTATGCTAACGGTGAGGAAGATGTTTAAATGCCTTCCTGAGCAGGTGATGTCCATCAGTACTGGAAACAGATGTTACTACCTCATTGGGAGCAGCAGGTAGGCATAGAAAGATATGTAAATGCAATATGACATGACAGTTAAGCTAATGTAACACTCAGCTGCTGCCCCAAGGCAAGGTTCTTCTCCTTCACAGTCACTCCCATCCCTTCCTGTGTCTCAGCTACTGATTGTGCAGCTCTGGGATGAAACGATTCAGCTGGTTGATCCAATGGAAAACAGCTCTTTTCTATGTCGTTTTTTCCTCCCATGGCCAGGTTAATTCTTTGTGGGTTCAAACAGGTGAGCCAAGCTCCCTTGCAGCCACACTGTTACAACATCCAGTATGTGAAAGTAGTGGGAGCGCGCAGCAGGGAGTGAGGATGGCATCAGCAGTATGTCAGTGTGGTGATGCTGTGTCAAACTGGGCCAGTTATGGGTCAAGGAAGAGCAGACAGCTTTGTCTTCTCACCCAGCGGCTCCTGGGAGTTAGGAAAGCTTCTGCTCCTCATGGATAAATCACAGGAAGTAATATTGCCGTGGAAAGTAGGTTGTTAAGCAAGGGAAGCAGATTGAAGGGGAAAATTCCCCCAAGGGAAAACGGATCCCAAAAGGAATGACTGGGGCCTCTACTGCAGCAGGGTGGTGTGCTCCCTGCTCTCCCAGGCTGCAATCCAGTCTTCAGCAAGGGTAGAAACTGCTGCCGTCGTGGTGGTCAGCCAAAGCTTGATTAGGTGAGGGAGGACACCTGGCACAGTGCTCCTCTGCTGCTTCCCAGCATCTCCCCTTCAGTTTCCCAGCCACAAGCATCTCAAGGGTGTTTTTTTTCTGCCTTTATGCAGAAGAGCAGCTGATGTGTGAAATGCTGATAAGCACAGAAGGAAAACACATACCTGTGTGTTACTTGAGCATGCCACCCCATGCCTTCCCCCAGGGCACTGCTTTCACAGTCCAAGCTCCATGGGAAGCATTCCAGAACTAATCAAACTAAATCCACTGCAAGCGTGAAACAGGGCTTCAGGGGTCCTTTCACTGCGTGTTTCTCATCCTGCTCCCTCAAATGCATTCCCAAGCCCTGTTAGCTGTCTTTATGGCAGGATTCAGCAGAGCAACATTACTCACAGAAAATGCAGCAGAAAGCACTGTCCCACCTCTCCATCTCTCTCCTTCTCTGTGTTTCTTGCACACACACACACACACAGAGCCCCCCTGCACACCTTTTAGCTCCCAGTCCGGGGCTGCACCTCTCTGAGGTCAAACTTTCCCATCTGGCTATGGCCGCCAGAGCACTCTCTCTTGAAAGGAAGGTGCAGATTTTCCTCGTTGATTTCAGGAAGCATTATTTTGGGCCCCATAGGAAGAAGTGCGTCAGCAAATGGGTTTTCTTTGTGTTTTACCTGTGAGTAGGTTTTCATTTCTGTTGTTCCAACCTACAGGCAGGAAGCAGAGGACTGGGTCGCTGTGATATCTTCAGCCTGCATGGAGACCAAAAGAGGTGGATGCTGCCCTCAGGTGACATGTTACTGCACTTGATTTTAGAAAGAAAAAAGGTTGTAATTTCATTAGAAACCTGTGCAAAGATATTTCCTGATTTTGGCCTTGCAAGTTGACTGTTGCCTTGCTTAATCAGAAATTCATCTTCCATATAAATCCGGTACCCTGGCTTTGTGCATTAAGCAGGCATTGAACAGTCTGTCTGTGCTGGGATTGATTTTAGATTGAAGGAATCTCTTTGAAGAGTAAACCACATGGAAATTAGGAGATGATTTGCATTACGCTGCAAAGATTTGCACCTTTGATGCATCAGAATGAAAACTTGTGTGTTATTCTAACCATGTGCTTTGCAATTATATTTACGTGCTGGTTTACAAACCGATCCACATCTAGTCTGTCAATGTAGGAGCAGCTGGAAGCTTTGGTAGTTCAAGCTCAGGCCCAGGATTCTGCATCTTGTCAGCCACCCAGACCTACTTGGCCAGACTCAACACTAAGCTCCTTAATCTCTACAGCTTCCACTTAGCTCAAAGGGCAAGCAGGACAAATTTGTATCTGCCTGAAAAATACCATGTAGACAACCTTTGGGATGCATTGGTACATTGTAGTCCATGCCCATCAGGTGCTTGTCTTCTTACACTGCTGTCATCTTTATTTCTAGAACCAAGATCTTCCAAATCCACTAGTCAGAAGCCGGCCCTCCTCTTTGCCACTATCCTTGAATTCTGTAAATACCACCAGTTTCCCAGAAAGGCAAAGCTACCAGAAGGTAAACAGATTAGACATCCTTAATAATGGGTTTGCTCCTAGGAGTGACTGTGATATTTTGTTTGTATAGCTGCTTTTTTCCATCAAAACTTCTTCAGAGCTTGTGCAATGGGTGCCAGGGTCATCTTTGCTGCTCTCTGGTGAGGTTGCTGAGTAGGACCTGGATGATAACATCAGAGAGTCCCCACAAAGGAAAGTCTGCAAGTAAGTAAAGGCAGGTGTCGATGGCAGTGAGGAACGATATTCATTGGCTGTCCCAACTGTCTGGCAAAGATTAGTGGGCATAAAATAAGCCCTTACTCGCTTTGATGTGCCTTGGCGAAGCCATGTGATGATTATTTCCACAGCTGCCTCTCACATTCCTCCTGTTTTGTGACTGTGCTTTTCTTTGTCTCTCTGTTCAGGCTGTAAAGCCTAGAGGATGGTTCGGGTCCAATTCCTCTGTGCCTTCCAAATCTTCCCCCTCAATATTTAAATAGAAAGGAAGAAAAGCATTGCTGTTGTCCCAGAGCAACTGCAGTCCCTGTCCTCTGGTGACAGGCTGAGTAGCAGCCAAGGGAGTGTTGGTTTTCTCTAGTCACAAAGTTGTGTGCAAACGGCCCAGTGGGAGTAAGCTGAATGCAGGTGAAGCACCTTTAGCAGGAGTCAACTTTTTTCTTTTGTATTCAGGAGAATGGTCCCTCAGAAGACAAGAACAGGCCTAATTCAGATCCTGGCCCTCACCAGCCTCCATGTGACTCACCAAGCGGAGTTTTTCCAAACCCGGTGAGCAGAACAAATCAAACAGCTCTTGACTTCCTCAGTCAGCTGAAGTGACTACTGGCTCTTATCTCACTCGAGTATCTGTAACTACAGATTATTTGTCTACTTTTCCCAGCACACTGAGTGGGTTTTCACTATGAAAGTTTCCTGAATACAGTTAGTCTGTTGCCTTGTTTAGCACTGAAACGAATCTTCTAAGAACTTTCTTGAAATACCTTTTGTTTACTTTTTTTCTTAGAGCAGATCCTCAGAGTTTCTGTGGAGCAATTGCAGCTTGTGATAGCTCTCACAAACTTGATCGAGAAAGCTATGAAGTTGCACTGCTTGAGGATTTGCTTCTCCCATCGCATTTCTCAGCTGTGCCACAGTCTTTCTACATGGTTTCTTTCTGCAGCCTCTGCCAGTCTGGCAACTGAATCAATGTAATTGAACTACAGAACAAGGGCTTGTTAAATTGAGGCCCATCTCAGGACTGACCTTCTGTAACCAGCAATTAAATTAGCTTCCCTATCTGGCAGGAGTTATTTAAAAAGATATAAGGATTATTGTTATCCCATGTTATTGGCTAAGTGTTCTGACCTGTGTTCCCTGAACAAACACCTGCAGCAGTTTCAGATGGTTTTCACCCATCCTCTGCCCTTGATTACTGCTTTTGCAGCAGAGTCAACAGAACAGAAGACACTACCATCTTGCGGTTTGGCAACTGAGTTTAAACCCGCAGCAGAGTCAACAGAACAGAAGACACTACCAAGGCTCCATCTTGCAGTTTGGCAACTGAGTTTAAACCCTTCTTTATTAGTATTTTATGCGTTGGACTATGATCTAGAGTGGCTGAGATAGAGGAAAAGAATCTGTTCTTCCATCATAGCTAAAGGAGTGGTAAATCATGCGCTGCCATCACCATCCATGTGTACAGACTGGCAGCAAGTATGAGATAATACAGCTAAATTTAGTGGAAAGTAGTGAAAATAGTTGCAACTACATTACAATGCCATAAGCAGTTAGCACAGCTCAGCTGGTGCACAGTACTTTTTGAAGCTGCAATAGTTCAGTTGTGAGTCTGAGCTCTGAAATCACTGAGTTAACCCTTAGTCTGATTTAAGCAGCGCTGCTGTGGATGCATACCAAGGCGCTCTTTCTGTCTCTTTCTTATGCAGGCTTTTTCTGTCCAATTCTTCTCATACTGATGGTGCCTCAGAGAGCATGTATTGTATGCAGCTGTTCGAACTAGGACAGACTGACCATGACAGTTAAAAGATAAGGAATTTGGATTTTACCTTCTTAGCCTGAAGCAGAGGGAATAGCAGGAAGCTCATATTTCTGTTTCAGCATGTGTGAAAATAATCTTGCCATAGAGCTAACAAGAAACAAAATTGTTCGTTCATTCGATAAAAATATTTCACTTGCCTCATAAGTTCAGCATCTGCTAACATCTCCGGATCTATTCTCTGCTCAGTGATGTCCAGACAGCTGACTTCCAGATTAATCCCTTGTATTTACGTCCTGTTAGAAGTATGACTCCACATTTCTAGTATCTGATTTGTTTTGCTTTTTATTGGTTGTTCCCTCATCCAGGCCCAGATCTTGAAAACTCTTTGGTCAGTAGCCATTACTCATGCAAACAGGCCTATCAATGTCACTTCAGTCCAGTCATGCAGGCAGGGAGCCAGCCACTCAGGAGAGGTTTGGGGATCTGACTCCCTTTCAGCCCACATTTTGGAGATAACAAACCACATCTGACTCAGTAATTCAGTATCAGCTATTTTGACACACAGCTTTCAATACCTGAAATGCATTAACATAAGGAGCTCTGAGGTATATCACCCTGTACTGCTCATTACTATCTTGCAGGCACCTAGGCATCTTTGTCAGGAGTCTGGCTTCAATATCTGTTAGACACGCCTGATTTTCTGAAAGAGAAGTTCCTTTGTTGAAGGGCAACACATAACTTTTGACCCTTTCCCCAAGGAGCCTACAACTAACAATTACTCAGTTGTTCTCCAGGTATCATTTCCATCTTATGCTACAACAAATTTTCTCCATCATCTCTCTTGTGTGAATCCACACCATGGTTCAACAAAGATTAAAGAACTTGCTTAGCTGTATGTCTGAGAACAATTGTACACTGAGGTTAACTAACTGCAGTGCTCTGGTGTAAAGCATCTGGAGGAACAGAGATGTCAGCAAACTGCCTTAGGGAAACACAGTGCTGCTGCAGCTTGACCTCCTTCCCATTGTCCCAATAATCTGCAATGGTGCCAAGGGGCAACACTGCATTTGGCAAAAGGTAGCCGCTATCAGCTATCAGTGACTGAAGGCTCAGTTTGGGAAGCTGGTGAGTGCTATCTGCTGTCTGAAATTTCCTAGGAGCTGGAGGATCTCACAACTTTGTAAAATCACCTCCTCTTCCTCCTTTCCCCAACTGTTTGCTTGTTTGATTGATCCAGAGCTCCTGAAAAATCACTAGGAAACTCTTTCATTACTTTAGATCATGACCATAGAGCCAGTCTTGTTCCTGCTGGGGTTTTGTTATGCACTTCTTGAAGGACCGTTTGTAGGTTTGCTCTGACTCCTACAGCATGGGTTGCTTTTTATGTCATTTATACCAACAAGGAACAAAAATACATTCATCACCTTTAATTTCTATTCAATACCAGTTTTCTCTCTTTACATGTAACAGAGTAATTAGTTTAATGTACTTTACCTTGAAAACAGAAATATATTCTGTGGCATACTTAGGCATTATTAAAATGATCACTATGGAAACCAGGGATGTAAGTGGAGAGATAAAAAAAGGTTGCATCACAAACATGGCATGGGGAATTGTGTTGGGAGGCAGCTAAATACTGATTACCATACTCTTCATTATAGTGAAGTCAACAAGGAGACATAAAAATAAATAGTTTATCTTTGTGACTTAGAAAGGTGTAAACTTGATGGAGGGATTAATTCTTCCTTGACTTATCAAATTGCTTCAACTTAGTATTTCAGGTATTTATGAAGGCAAAATATCACTCAGAACACAAAGGATTCGATGTCAGATCTCCGGCCCTCTGGTGTATGTTCTAGTTCATGGAGAAGTATGAGTTAGTAGACTTCTTATTAGTCAGGGAAATTCCAAATTCATTCTTTACTTGATAGCAGTTAAAAGGTGCTTAAAAAAGGATATATATCTCCCAATTCACGTCTAGATTTCCTATAGATTTTTCTCCTAGTGTACGGACTTTAGAACTCAATGCAAATAAAAACCCTTTTGCACACAAGTGACCCTAAATGCATGCAGATTCATACATGAAGTGTTTAACCCACTTGATTTTTAAGCAAAATAACAGGTTGTGAGCATGCAGTCAATTCCAACTGCCTGGTTACCACAAATCCATCTATGAGAAAGTACTAATACCAGTGGCTAGTTTTCATAGAATCAGAGAATCATAGAATGGTTAGGGTTGGAAGAGACCTTAAAGATCATCTAGTTCCAGCCCCCCTGCCACGGGCAGGGACACCTTCCACTAGATCAGGTTGCTCAAAGCCTCATCCAACCTGGCCTTGAACACCTCCAGGGATGGGGCAGCCACAACTTCTCTGGGCAGTTGGATGTTCTCTGTTCCAGTGCCTCACCACCCTTATTGTAAAAAATGTCTTCCTTATATCTGATCTAAATCTCCCCTCTTCCAGTTTAATGCCATTACCCCTTGTCTTATCACTACATGCCCTTGCAAAAAGGCCCTCTCCAGCTCTTGTAGGCCCCCTTTAGGTACTGGAAGGCTGCTATAAAATCTCCTTGGAGCCTTCTCTTCTCCAGGCTGAACAGCTTCAAGTCTCTCACCCTATCTTCGTAGGAGAGGTGCTCCAGCCCAGTTCTGTCCATATACAGACAGGGGATCTCAAAAGTATAAGTAGGAGCACAACTACAGAAACCTTGTTCCTAAAACAGACTGGCTCTAAGCATATCTCTGTTCAAACATGTCTTTCCGTGTTTTCTGTGGGTATTCCTGGTTCTATTACTGTCCATATAAATGGAAAAATACGTGTTAAACAATTTGTATGACTGAACCTGTTAAATACAAAACCTTTCTTTTAACAGGATAAAAAACTTTTTGAGGAAAACCTGCTGTCATCAGATACAGATGAAGACATCAAAAACGACGAAGAAGATTATTACCAAACTCCCAGCAGTATTTTAGCAAAGGTAGTTTATCAGTTGTGAGTTCTGCTGGGTTATTAACAGCTCCAAGGAAACAGGAGACATTAAATGAGCCAAAGAGGAACTGGTACAAGGAACCACTAGTACCTTGCAAAAGAAATACATAGATAAAGCAGTAGGTAATAGAACTTTCATTTGTACAAGAAAAATACACTAGACTCATTCAACAGATGTTTCTGGTAGAAAGTGGCATTGTGACTGATTTTGTTGAAATTCCCCAAATTGACTGTTTTATTGTAAATGGCTTTTACCTATTGTATCACAGGTGATTTTTTCCAAAAGTGAAAACTTCATTTAGAAAATGTAACAGTAGAATGTAATTTTGTAGAAGCACCACTAACCTGCATAAAATGAAGCAGTACTTTAAAAATGCTGTAAAATATTTTGGTATCTACATTTCACTGTGAAACAAGGGAGCAGGAGGAATCATACTGGTAATTTTAAACAAATTTTGGCACCTAATTTGGGAGGCTAATTTCTCTAGGCTTCCCATGTAGTTAGTGGTCAGGAGAAGCTAAGTGGTTAGTCTTCTGCAGAAGTCACAGCCTCTCTCCAAAGGCTATATAGCTAACTGAAGGACATTAACAATATGATTTTGCCATGTAACCTAAGTGCTTAAAGTTAAGCTCACCCAAAGTACAAGACTCTTTCTTCAATCTGCTTAAATTAAAACATAGCAAAAATTTTGTGGTAGTATTTATGTGGTAGAATATAGATGATTATGACCCAGCCTGAAAGGAAAGCCAGTGGTAGTGTCAATAATACCAGATTACATTAATTTCTAAGTTTCAACCACCTTTCTAGCTCACGGTTTCTGGGAAGTGGCTTATTTGGGGAAAACCAAGCTATATTAGACAATGTATTTAAACAACATGAACACTGAAAAAAATAAGAAAATGAAGATTTTTTTCTGTAGGCAGAGCATATGTCTTACGTTGTCATGTCTTTCCAACAGTGCACCACCGAAGTATCAATGCCTGATCCTACAGCTGAGTCTGATGTCCCTGTGCAAGAGAAACCTGTGCAGAAGAGCCCAGTAAAGGAGAACATTTATATGCCAATGAAATCGCTGTAAGTAACAACTGCATTAAGGTCTGCAAATTAAAAGTGACATAGTGGTGCAGATAGAGCTGTCATCTGTGGTATTTACGTAACGGTATCTAGAGGCTGCATCTTGTTTGAATGAGTCTTTCTTTGGTGTTGGTTCAGAAAGTTCAGAACTCATGGGAATACCAAAGTGAAATTTAAACTCATGGATGTGAAATTTAAGCTCACTTTGCAAATGTATGCATTTAGACAGGCTCTGACTATAAGATGCATCACTTTTTGTTGACTTAAACTTTTTCTAGGTTTTCATGACATAACAGCCCACCACTTGACTCAGATACTGCAGCCAAGCTCCAGCAACTTTTCAGATGTGTACTCTCCAAAGCAGGCAGCATTATCTAGTGGTTAAAAGAGAAAGGTAGACATGGGGCATTAGGTCCCAGCTTTTCCATTAAGAAGTTATGTGATCCTGTGTATGTCATCTGCTTCCTTCCATTTTCCCATCCAAAGAATGGATCTGATGCTGCGTACTTTGAAGGTACAGCGTTTGGCATGTCGTAAAGAAAGACCTGAACTTTGTGTCACAGTTGTAGGACCACAGGAAACTTTACAACCTCCACGATATAGCACACTATACTGAAGAGAAGTGTGCCCACACAGTAAAACCATACCTCCTGAGCCAGAGGACCGGTCATTAGCTGCTGGCTGTGGTCTGCCACCTACAGACAGTCAGGTCTTATACCACATAGTGAGAGGCAATTAAAAATGCAGACCCACAAGCCAGTTTATTCCAATATACTTATTTAAGCTCGTCTGTGTCTTTGGGACCCCCTGGAGGGAATTACTATAAAAAAACTCACAAGTCTGTGACATCTGAGTTAAAATATACTAAAAGCAGCTTTTGCTACTAACCTCAGTATTGTTTGAAGCATGGATAAGGCATTATAAGGCTCATCAAACAAACCTAAAAAGCGTTCAAGCACATTTGAGTTATTGTATCTCCCAGGGACAGCATTTCATCTCTCCAGAAGCCAGTACAGCCAAGGCCAACAATCTGTACTCAGTTTCTTTGTCAAGGCATGTTGCTAGCTGGAATGTATTCAAGCTTAATAAATAGTCTTTAAATACTGAAAAGGTTTATTTTGGAATTTATGCTCCATTTTTAGAAGGACTGTTTATTTTACTTAGCTGTGATTTTGTCCACTGAATATTCTACAAGAACTTGTTATTCTTTGCTTCGCTGATGGTTATTTGATCCAACTTCAAACACAGCAAGAGTGCCTGGAATGGTCAAACCAGTTCATTTTTTATCACCATTCCTCTTCAGCAGATTGCTGGATGAGAGTTGCCAGCTCATGTGCAGATGTGATGGGCTTCCGTCTCCTCTCAAATGCCAAAAAAACAGTGCATGTCCAAGAGACTTGGAAGCAAATAGAGACCTCAAACTCCCAGAAAGCAGCACCAGCCAGCAGCCAACCCTCCAGAGAAGGCAAAATTCATTACCACTTTCGGTGGTACAGTTGTCTATACTGCTCAGGTAAATGTCTTCTCCATTTTCGTTGCAGAGAAGACAGACATGTTCATGAGTTCCAGCTGGGGTACTGGTAGAGCATGCCAAGCCTGTCAGAGTTTAAGGAGTGCCTGGGCAATGCTTTTAGCCATATGATTTAGTTTTTGGTATTTCTGCAAGGAGCAAGGAGTTGGACTCAATGATCCTTATGGGTCCCTTCTGACTTGAGATATTCTGATGCTCTGATGTTTTCTTTCACAGTCAAGTTACAGATGAGACCCAACTGCAGAAGTTGGATATTTTTGTCCCACTGGCTGATATTAACAGTTGCCTAAAACTTACTGAAGCAGCAGGACAAATATGGTAAGTTCTGGATGTCTTGTGACAGTGCCTGTCAGATGTGAATAAGTGACAGTCAGGTACAGAAGTGTACAAGTGTACACGTCCACATACAGTCTTGGCAGTGCAGAACAGGGCAGGGTCAGTGTGTGCTGGTACTTCAGTGATTCCTTTCTACTCTTTCTGATTTTTCACGTACCTGAGTTTCTATTTCAACTGCTGTTGAAAAGGGCTACATAGAGTTGAGATCCCTCAGCATGCTGGGCTACAATTAGTGATGAAGTCTCACCCTAAAAGCAATCCTTCTAATGTTGGTGTGAAATCACCTAATTACTTGTAGTCAGTTTTACCTTTGGTTTGGTGAACAATGATGATGGTGTGTCTCAGAGATACAGCGAGAGGATATATCTTGTGATAGGGTAAACAGGGTCTCAAGATGACTTGAGTTGAATGTAAGCACAAAACTATCTCTAAATTAATCCCAGCTAGGAATGAGTGCTAGGCAGAGATTTTTACAAGTAGGTGTTATGGGCTAGAGCACATACATCCTCTTAGTAGTCCCACTGGAAATTAGTGCTCTCCCTAGACCTTCAACATCAGTGACAAAGATAAAGAGGATGGAGCAGAAAAAATGCTCAATGCATACTTCTGTGCTTCTTGCTGATCTTTCACTGCCACACAGCAATGAGACTGCTTTTTGCTGCTGCTCTCATGTTCATACCGATCAGGTGCATTGTGTGCACAGAAAGTCATTTTGTTTCAGTCACTGTCAGCAAGAAGGAAAAATACTATTGCAAAAGGGACTGGAAATGGGACTCCACTTCAATAACTGGATCTACATCTAAATTTACAGAGCTTTCTCAGTGGAAATTCATACTGAAAGAATCTGGGGCTTGTTCTGGAAAGGAACAGAGCGCTAGGTCTGACAGTCAGGTCAGCTAATCCTAAATAGCTTGTCACCAAGTCTGTCAGAGACTAGCAGGAAAGAGATACTGAAATTTCCATAAGGGTCCCAATCAGGACAGCAATGGATCTCTGATCCTTGCAGTTTTATCATAGATAAAACATATGATAATAAGTTTTAGTTTTCTTCTTTTGGGATGACTTTAGAAATCATCTCAGTCAAACATCAGACTAAAACATCTACAGTGAATCTGGTCTGCTACTTTTGGACTGGAATCTCCAACATTCACTGATGACCTTGCTAGCTACAAGTCTGACTTGTTAACATGCTGCAATGACAGTATCATGTGCGCTTTTAGGAGGACCCATTGAGATGGATAAGGAACTTGGTTTCAGCTAGAACCAGATCAAAAAGTTGCAAAGTCATTCAATCTGTGTGTTATTTCCAGAGGGCAATACCATAAATGCAGCCATTGCCATTCTGTTAGCAGTAACTGGATATCCCATATGCATCCTTTAATGTCTGTCCTTCACATACCCTAGTGTCTCACAGTGGACTGGTCCTCACCAACTGGGATGTTTGTTTAACCATGGAGACCATATAGTAGCTGTGAATGATCTGCAACCCCAGGACGTGGAGGAGACTTACTTCTTCATCAGCAGGTCCACAAGAAAAGAGGTAAGCTTGACAAACCTGAAGGTGATAGTCAAGTGAATCAAGCCAAATGAGAAATCACGTTGCTTTTGGCATTTCATGTGGCTTCATTCAAACCAGTTTACTCTATTCTGAGTTTGGCGTGAATAACTTCAGTACCAAATAGCTCCTCAGCATAATTCTGATGTAGCATCTCTTATTGCTGGGCTATTTGGGTAATGCAAGGTCAGTGCTGCTGTGTTTAAGGACTTGATCTCAAAGAGTTTGAGCAACCTCAAGAAATGCCACAGGGCAACCATAAATTAGAGTTACTTGGTGTTTTTTGGCTAAGGTCCTTGAATTCCAAACTTTAGAAAATAAAGAACTGCCTGCACCGGATGTGTAGTAGCTTGTAGTGGTTTTAGGTACTAAGGGCAGTGCCCTGGACTCCTACCTCCTTATCAAGCACTACACATCTCCTTGTGTGATACCACTTTTTTTGAAGAATGTGGGAGATTTCCAAGTGATGCCTTAACACCACTGTGATCTGCTACCTATATTTCTCTCAGATGGACTTCTATTTCAGTATCCGAGTTCTCTGGCCCATACCTAAACACATTCATGTTTGAAGTTTGCTGACAAAGTTGGGGTCATCAGATGCTGTTGCCATCTAAAGATGACAGTCTCAGCAAGAAAAAAATACTCATCTTTGTTAAAGTATTTTTATTTAGCTAGTCAAAATACAAGTCAGATAGTAGCACAAATGTTGATCAGATGTAACAAGCTGGAAAAGTTTATCTTTCTTTTTTTTTCTTTTCAAGGTCAAGCTTACTGTATGTAGGATTCCACAGTCAGATATCTTCCATGTTAAAGGCTGCTCATGTTCCTGAAAAAGATCTCAATGATTAAGTAAGTGCTAAAGTTCAAGGGAAAAGATCAGGGAGAACGTGATATATAGTGTATGGAGGTAATCTTTATCTTCTAGAGCTGCCAGACATCTTTTGTTGCTGAAGTACAAAGAACAGAGAACGTGGATTTCATTTTCATTTCATGTCTTAATAATTTGTTTTGTTGACATGAATGGCATGTTTGGCTTGTATTTCATGTTGGCATGTAGTTCTGTTACATGAAAAAACTGAGGGTCAAATCACTAATGAAACGTTTGCACAGTGTATACTTTCTACTTCAGTAAAAAGTACTGGTTCAGACCTCTGCTCACCTCTTTACACTGGGTTACATTGATTTATACTGAACTCTTAATCAGTTAGGGGTGTGGAAACAACCTACATTTGGAACAAAGCTATGTTTTCCCTTGCTTACCCTTAGCTACAGAAAAGCAAAGGCAAGCTGAGAGCTGTAGCGTTGGAAGGAAGACTGGTAAATAAAGTGTTGTGTAGTGATTCAGTGGGGCCTCCTTTTGTGTTATGCCCGTCTTATGTCACAGCCACGAAAATACATTCAAGGGATGACAGGAAAGAGAGCCGATTGGAGAAAAGGAATGTGTCTGGAGCACCTTTGGGTTCATTGGCAGCCAAAATGAGACCTAAGCGAAGAATGGAAGGATGGATTTGGGAGAGAGCAGGGTTGGCCTGCTCTGTGGAAGTGTAATTGGTAAAGACAGCTGGGAAAACCAGAGAGAGAATCTATGTCTACAAAGGCATGTGTGCTCAGCCCAATGCAAACAGAGTTCACTGAAAGCGTTTTGATGCTACCAAGTGCTACCATAGGGATGTCACTGGTACTGCAGCATTACTAGAGCAAGTGCTCATTTGTTTCCCAAACAGGGATGTTTCCTGTAAATATTTATTCGTGAATATGTCTTGCTTCTATTGCTATCATAGAAACATGACTGATTTTCAGCTAATATCACACCAAAAGATGTTGCTGCTTGATACAGAACTGCCTGCAGGGCTGCCTTTAGGGGATGCCAAAAGGGAGCTTTGTCCTATACTACAGTGACCTCTGTTGCTTACAAAAACATAGTGTGATATGGCATGTATGCAGAATACGTTCCTATTCTCTACATGGATTTGTACACATCTGTATATACGTGTTTGGGTGCATATATATTTATATACATATTTTGCTGTAAGATGGATTGTGTTAATATACAACAATGTGGCAACGAATCGAGTCGTGGTTTTAGAGTACAGATAGTTCTATCTTGTCAGATACAACCAAAATAACTACTGGGTTTAGCAGGCATAGGATTATTGATATTAAGAGATTTACATAAGCTTCGATTAAGGTGGATTTGGCCCAAAGGAGGTATTTTACCAGCTTCCAGTTGAATTAGGCCAAGTCAGCTACTACAGTAAGAAACTACGCTTATTAAAATCAGCGTTGGTGTCACTTACTCCAGTAGTAAATTTGACAAATGTGATTTGTATACTTTCTTTAAAATCTAGTCTGGGCTTTTTAAAAAATAATTATAAAATTTTATTTAGCCAAAGATGAAAACGGCACCATTAACCCAAAACGAACTAACACAAATATTTATGCCATCTATTCAGACTCAGCTCCTATTCAAAAGATTAATTTCGAGACTGAATGTTTCCACAGCCTGTCTCTTCTGCTTTTGAGGTAAGAGTGTTTGGGACACACTTATTTCTCAAGGTGGGAAAGGCTCACTTTTTGATATTTCTGTTTCAGTGGTGTTCAAAGGCTTATTTGTGCTGAACTCTGCATAAAGACAGAGGGAAACCTGAGTTCTGGAACTACAGAGGCTGAAAATGGAAGAAAAGACACTCCTTGGGAGCTCTTCTCCAAAGCTGCTATGGGACTTCTTTACTCTGCACTTCCTTTTTGAGCACAACAAATCCATTTCTGCCTAAGGAGTCTCTGAAGGATGGGATGGTCAGCCATCACCATACAAGGCTTCTTCCAGCTCGGTAATGGTGTCAGCCTGCTAGGACAGTGCTCTAGGCCTGAATCCTAAAATCACAGATCATCTAGTCCAAGAGTACCCACTGAGAATGTCAACCCTCGACCTTTCCTGCTCAAGGTTTGCCTAAGCTCTTCTTCTGAACTTTAGAAAAGGAAAATCCAAACCTTCATGTGTTGTTCCAAGACTCATTATCATATATCTTTGGGAAGTAATTTTCTAACAGTTATCCTAGATGATCTTTTCAGAAAATGAACCTGATTTTTTCTTGCCCTGTTTTCAGTGGGCATGGGGAATGTTTGATTTCCACTGTCTCCAGTGAAATCTTCATTCTGGAAGGTGTTTTTTCTGCCTGTTCTCCCTTCTCTTTTTTTTAGACCAAACATCCTGCATTCTTTCAACATTTTTTCAAACATTTCCTGAAAGTGGTCATCTGTCACTGAACTGCGAGACAAATACCTCGCGTTTCCAGTTATGGGTGAACAAAGGAGGTGGGACAGCCGTAAAGCAATTTCCTTGATCTTGCTAGAGAAGTATTTCCAAAAAGAGGTGAACTAGTGAAGAAGCTGTGAACCGTACGTGGCGGTGGGAGGAGAGCCACCGCTGTGGAACCTGCACGAGGCATTGCTGCTGAAGCAGATGTTGAGCAATGCATGCTGCACCTCTCAGCAATAGAAGAATGTTACTTTTGAACAAAAATAGGTTTTGGGTAGATATAGCATGCACAGGATAATTCCAGAATATTTCAGAAAACTGGGGGATTACTTCTGTACTTCAGTAATCAGTTCCTGTTGTGTTGCCTCATAATTGATCATTATGTCAGTTTGCACAATGATAAATGTAGATAATTAATGTCATATATTGGCTGATTCATAACACTTACAGAGATACAATATGGAATTGACATTGCTGCAGTAAATTCTGGTAGGATGTGTGAAGTTGTCTGCCCACATATGATTAATAAATGTGCTAACACTTTACAGTACATTGCCTTCTGCGAATACCTCACTTTCTTCTGACACGGCCCCTCCTCATCCTCCAAAAACCGCTTGTAACTTCCCAGTAACCTGCAGCTGAGTCACCAAACAGCTCTTTAAAAAAGAATAAAAAAAAGCAACCCTTAAGAACAAGATCAACCTCATTCTGTAACATTTTTCCCAATGTAAAAATTTTACCTTCCTTCAAATGAGCAAATTCTGCTGAATCTCTGGCCGGCTTCTCGAAGCAACAGCAAATGGAAACGCCCACGTGGATGGTATTACCCAGTGCTCGCTTTTAGTCCTGGAAGACCTGAAGGGAATGTCTTTAAAGCCATGCCATCTGAGGGGTAATTTTTTAGCTCACCTATGGGCATTTTAAATGTGTTGTGTAAGCACGCACTCTTAAAGAAATAGATGATGCTGTAATTTCTCGTTGCAGCATGCTCGGTGGTGTCAAAACCTTTCCTTAGCCTGTCTCCAGGCAAGTTTTAGGCTATGGAGGGTTCCGGACATAGATGTTGAAATTGACAGGAGCTGAAATTCAGTGAATCCACAGACTAGCCTATCTATGTACAACACAGCTGGAAGAAGGCTGCGGATCCTGAAACCTTTGTGCTCTACTGATCCCATGAAGTAACCCGCCTGGACGCAGGGGCCATTGCCGGCTGCCACACACCCCGCTTTGAATCGCTCGGCATCCGCAAACTGGGTGTGCAAGAGACAAAACCCAGCCAACTGCGACGCAGATTACGTGTTTAGCTAACAGCATGTTCCTCACCGTTTAATTTTCTGTCACTGAGCACAGCCAGTGCCTTCAGGTTGCTTACTTGGCTGTTAACTCACAGCTCACTCCCATGCTGCACTCACTCGTTAGCGGCTGCTAATTCCCCCCCCTGAATTCCCAAATATGAATCATGCTCTTTCTACCACTTTAGTACATTCTCCAGCAGGAAAATGGCAATGTTCCAAGGGCAAAGCAAGTTCTGGAACAGAGAGAAAGTAATGGTAAGAGAAGTCTCCAAGTTGGTGTGAGGTCATTGAAGTTCAGAAAAATAGAAAGCCCAGTGTACAGCAAGTGCAAACCAGACCACACACTTCCTCTCACTACTGAGAACTGGGCTTGGAGTCATAACACTGATCAGAGAGAGCACAAGCCGTGCAGGAGAACAAGTCCAGCCAGGAAAGGTTATCTGTGCTGCCTGTGTCCATCCTGAACTGAGCTGACACAAGCTCTGCGTAGTGCAGCGTCTGGCTGCGACGCACAGGACTGGGTGTTATTTGTGTTGGTGTCCCCAACCTGGGGCACCCAACCAGACACGCTACACTGCAGCTGGACTCTCAGCAAAGGGAGTCAATAGAGGGGCGGCTGCAATAAACCAGAGCGATGTCACCTCACACACCAGGGACAGAGCGGATCTGTGGTGAGCCAGGGACACCGGGTATTTAATCTATGTTTTGCCCCAAATTTTCTGGTGACCTCAGGAGAGCCATTTCCTTGCACACACTCAGTAAAATTCAAGAAACGATTTCAGACACGTTTGCATCATGCTGTCTCTTACAAAGCATGTGATCTCCAGCATCACATTCAATACTGTGACTGGCTTTCCCTCCCAGAAAATCTGCTGGAAACACCTCCAGCAGACCTGGATGCTACAGGCGTGGGGGCTGGTTCATCAATGCTATGGAGAGATGCTGATGTGCCCGTTCAGTGCTAAGGGAGAAGCCGTCCTTAGTGCCCTGCAGTAGCTTGGCTTACCCTGTCGCCATTCCGACGGCACCGTCATGAGCGAACATTAGGTGATGCTCTCACTTTCCTTCAGGGAACTGGCCCACGCCGTCATATGCTGCTTATGGGGAGCTGCACCGAACAGGGTCTGTGGACGTCTGCTCAAATGGCCTCATCCAGTACTTTAGCCCCATTAGGGGACATACTAATATTTAGAAGGGTGTTTCCTTACTGGTGCTCCCTGCAGGGGCTGGAAAGAGAGTGTACTGATTCCTCAGCAGAAAGCCTTAACCACGGGAC